TCCGTGGTCCATAACTAACAACAGTACACAAATAGACCCTAAATCACTGTCTAAAAGTGCTTGTAAGACGTTACGTGATACAAAGAAAGGTAACTTAAAATGTTTGTCCAGTTGAATTGTTAAATTCTACTTGTTAGATAATTTGATTTTAATCATAATAAAACAGTTTGCTCACACAAGTGACAGTATTTGTCTTTATCATTCCTTGCTTAATCATTTTCTACTGCATGCACTCTGATTGTGGAAATATGCAGTTAATCATCAACGTCATCCTGTAAAATTTCGTATTATACGTTTCACTTGTTTTAAACACTGTTTATCAACGAATAATTGAAATAGGAATACACAAACTACAACGAAATCATTTAGTGTAATTTCAATAATTCGTTATATGAAGGGTTAGTTCGAGTTATTTTTCTTGCTAAATGTTGTTATTTAGATTTCATTGAACCATACATCTACCGTAAGTAATTTTCTCTATACTTGTCCATGTTACTAGCAAGTCCACAGAATTAAATTCCTGACAAACATGGTTTTATTTCTGGGAACTCCTCACTGAACTATCACAAATGATTATAACACTGAGACCTTTATCCCAGGTATTATATGCCTCTAAAGCTTCATATCCTACGTTTCGATTTTCTGTGGTTTAAGTCCTTAAGTTTAGAGCAGAAAGGTTGTCTCAAACGAAGTGAATTTGCTCGCTTTACACAAATTAAAAAAAGTTACTATTTCGTGTGCTCACATACTATTGTTTATCCCCCATGTTCTTTTCCTTTCTCCTCCCAAGTTGACCTCAGTCTGGTTGTACTACTAAAGGATTTCGCTCTTATTTCTGTTTAACTCTTCAACGTAACGAATTCAAGTTCACCTTTTTATTACATATCCAGTACTCATGTCATGTTAGTTTCCCGAACAGCTAGTGTGTATGAAAGCAAATTGTCATCTTTCTTAGATAAATAATCTGAAAACCCTAGTAAATGATGAGCATTATCTAGGTCTTTTAACTAATTGTTATAACGCTCGGTTTCACTTCGTCTAATGTTATAACGGTTGGGTTTCCACTTTTACACGTAAGGGACGTTAATTTATCTTAGACGAATATCTACAGTAGATTCCCTCCCAGTGTCTATTCTACAGGACTCCAACACAACTTAGATCAAGAACACGTGATTAGCCTGACCACGACGTAAATATATTTCCACATCAAAAACCCGACACAATTCAACAACAATGAACAATCAATAATGAGTGAGTAATAATAATAATAATAATAATAATAATAATAATAATAAGGGGATATATAACTCATCTAACACCTGGCCGACTATCTACGAGTCTGACTATGCAAACAACCAATCATTATCATTCTCTCCCATACATCACTAATCGAAGACAGACGAATGAATCGAGTGGATATTCACATCAAAATTCAGATTTACTGATGTTATCTGTTTGTGCAGAGTTTACTAGTTAAATCTATGCAAAAAGGTTCAATTCTGCCCTCTTACATGCAGCATTTCGCTCCTATGATAGTGACTATTGTGTAAACATTTTAATTATAAATCTGGTTATGTACATCATCTTTTTCCATCCAGGTAAATTGGCAAAAAACCCTGATTTGGTCATAGATAACAGTCAAGGTCAAAATGTTTGTCATTTTCGCAGTCAGATAGAAGTATCTGGGGTCGGATTTTTATCTGGGAATGGAATCGGTTATTTCCGTCCTTCAGCGAAAGCACCTGGTCTTTTCCATTCAAATCCGAGTTCCAGAACAGACTGGGCAGCCAAGTATGAAATTTTTGTGTAAAACGATAGTTCAGACTATAAAATATACATGGTTATATGCTAGTTTACGTAAGATCCCAATTAAAGAATAGTTATGTTCTAAACCTTGAGTTTACTCCATTAAGCAATGCAAATAAACGAGCTGAATAATAAGACTGACTGTTGGGATTCGACGTTAAACTCACTTTTGTGTTCTAAAACTTCAGCACTTATTGGTGAATATAGACATTAGAAATTTGTTCAGGATTTTAGTAGTGAATAAATGATATTGTCCGAAAAGTATTTTGAAGTTCTGTTATTTATGAGTTTGTCAGTTGATGAATTTCATGGAGTACTTGAAAGCTGCATTCACGTTATCAACGCCTCGTATTATCAACTGCTTACGAGAAAAACATTATCATAGTAAGAATAATCAGCATAGTTTATAAATCTTGATCCATTTTACCTTAATATTACAACTTTGGCGCAGTTCGTAATCGAGAAATCAAAGGTGTTAAAAAGCAAATATTATTTGAAATACAAATATTGAAATAAAATTTAATATAAACTCCGGTTGAAGGTTTATTGCTAAAAAGTCCAGTGTTCTTACCGATATACCATACGATTATTTTATTTTAATCTTACAGTTTATTTCGATTGTTATGTTACCATATTTATTTAGGATTTTGCTTTAATTCTTGTGTTATTGGTTATTGTAGCAGATTAAGATTTTTATGGGCTTCTATATATATCAGTGTTTATAATACTTATTTGTTTCAGGTATCTGAAGTCATGAATGTATTTTGGAGTCAATGTAATTATCTTCCTTGATACATTTGTATCAGTCTCTTGTTTTGTTTACCTTTACTAACTTTTTGGAATACGCTTTTTCGTGTTCACTTTCATTCGTATTCGTTACTGTTGTTGAATGCTTTATTCAAATAACTACGTGCCTTTATTATTTTACATGCAATTTGTTTTATTAGACGTCTGTTAATTACGGTAAACTTAACAAATGGATTTCTTGACCCATTGGTTTTGTCATTAACATAAATAATTATGATAGTGTTTTAAGATCGTCAGTTTGTAAACAAGTTACCGGTTATTTAGAATTTTTATTATTCACTCTTATAGCCATTATTGTTGCTATTATTATTATTATTAATCTTTTTTCTCATTCATAATAATATAGAAATGTGGTTTACGAACTTGTTGGATTAGTAGTGAGATTATTAAAAATGATTGCTTTTATGATGCTACTCTTCAATTGTGTGTTTCATTATTTTATTATTTGATGTCTGACTGCTTTCTTGCATATGACTGTGTCTGCAAATATTCAAATTTTTATGATGCTATCACCATGACGTGTGGTTTATAATTGGTGCAAATCTCAGTTAATTTATGGTAGTGTCTTAATAATTATTCATTGTGTATGTGTATTCTATACGGAAGTAATTACGTATTATTATGCAGCTATGTGATAATCCGAATCCAATCTGTTTAATATTTGTTTATACGTTCCTATCTCTGTATGTACACTTCTCACTTCACACATATTTTATCTCGCACTTTTTAGTAGCGGAACTGTGATTCTTACCTCATCTTTTTTTATTCAAACGTAGTTCTGTTTGTGTAAAATATAATCGAAATAAAATATTACCGCATTCTTCTGTCTTTTTTCTTCAAATTTTAAAACAATGTCCTTAGTGAAATGGTATTTCGTTTCTTATAGTTTCAGATTATTATTATTATTTCTATCACTGATCATAAAAGTTTAATTCATTTCTATTTGGAAAATTGAAGCTTCCTTTGACTGGTATTTTGATAAAACAATATAATATTGAACTTTCAAAACCCGACTTGTAGCATTCACAAACATTTATATTATTATTATATTCGTTGATCTATGAAGTAGCGTATTTCATATTGCTTTTTTCCAATGAATGAGTTTCTAAAAAATTTAAATATGCTATTAATAGTGTTACGCGTAATTAATCCTAAAAGTGAAATTATAATAGATTAGTTAAATAATTCCGTTTGTAATAAAGTTTTTAGAAGAAATCGATATCGTGTGGGTTATTTTTATTTGTGTTTTAGCGTTCAGCTCCTCTCTATGCTGTGGTGGATAGTTAAACTAGTTTTTCTATCGAGTGATTTTATTTTACATTTGTCTAGCACTTGTTTGCAAGCTTTTAGCTATTTTCAATTGGATATTTAATTCAGGTAAAATGTTAGTGTTTCGGCCATACCCAGTGTAATGGAAAAGTAATTGTTAAAATGAATTAGTTACTATCAAAATTTTCTTGTTCTTACAAATGCAATATTGTATCAGTTTACAAACAGTATTCCTACAACCTACCCTCAAAACGTTATTTCAAAAGTTTACTACTCGAAGCTGCAGGCGTTTTTCTCTATATCAGATTGATTTCGTTGAAGTAGTTTATCAAATTTGATTTTGATTGTATTCCGTGCATTTATGTTTTCTTATTTTTTAGGCTAAATGAGTGACCTTGAGTTTACTTCAAGTGTGAGTTGTGGTATCTTTCTGTACAATTGATGTGCTTAACATGCGTTCATCTTTCAAAAAAGTTTTATCTAAGAAAAAAATACTTTTTGTTCGTATTATTTAACTACTCAAGATAAAATCGAACGGTAGAATAATTCAATCTTAATGATTTTCTAATTAGTGAACAATCCCCTGTACCAGTAGGTTACATATACATATGATAAGACTGTCATTGAAAAGGATTTGTTTTCAAGGTGTTCAAAATGACCATCTGGTTGTATATAAATCATGGTAACAAAACACCGGGTTCAAGTATCCTACTTTTAAGTCCATTTACTAAATTTGGACGTCTATATGGAAATTGTACTAATAATTTCTTATTCACCTTTTTATGTAATCGTATGGAAAGTTAAAAACACAAATAAAAATAACTATGATCTTGAAGAGAAAGAAATTTAACCCTAATTTGTCATAGAACAAGGTGAAAGTTTGGCCACAGAATTTATATTTATTCTAGTATATCGAATATTAAAACCGTATCTTAATGTTTTTTAGCTGCTAGAGGATGAAGAAGAACAAGATTCAACTTATGATCGTGGAAAGAAGCGATGTTTCTCGTGAAAGTAACATATATTTTCTGTTTTTACAAATTTAATTTATTTCTGTTTTAGTACGTTCAATGTTGTATGCTTTTGGAGATGATGAAAATCCATTACCTGAAACTGTTTACTTTACACATTCGAGACAATCTGCGTGACTAACAGCTGAATTATGTTGTATACTTTCAAAGTTAAAAATAATTCGAAAATCGATGTTGTTCACGTTACGACTAAAGCTAGCACAATCAGTAAGACAAAGAATAAGATGGAGACTGGCAGTAGATTATTTTTAAGTAGACAAATGATTCGTACTTTGTACACAGATTTATATGAAAAAGAAATTAAGATCATATTAACAGTTGATTGTTGGGAAACCGAATATTTCCATACCTGAAAAGCAAAGACAAATTCGACGATAAATTGGGAAAGCAAATTACTGACTGAAAGAAGGTTGAAATCAATAAGTTTCAAAAAATAGCTACTCTGTTTTAAGATTTACTTGGAGTATTGTGTCAGTAGGTTGAACAGAATAAGCATAAGAAAAAGAGGGATATACGTAAGAGTAACTGTACGATACTCTGTCTAATTGTACTGGTGGCATTATTCAGTACCGGAACACGGAGACCTGTATGAGACCACCAGTTTATTTGAGGACATTGAGAACATTTGCAAGGAAGTGTCAAGGAAATATAGTTGAGAAAACGAAGATAACGAGTGTAAGAACTGTAGCAAAAAAAGGATGTGTCTAGAACTTAAACATTACTTTTAGACCAAACAACAAACACCATAAAAATGAATAGATATTGTATGCCAACTCAAAATGAAGCGTATAATGTTGCTTTCCAAAAGTGCGTACTGTGGACTAATATATAAATTCAGATCCACTGTATCTTACAGTTAATGCAGTAACTTTGATGAATAAAATACCATGTTACTATTGTTAAGTCAATCATGAAGAAATAGGTTTGATTTGAAAGTCATAAAATTCACTTACCAAATGAATAAATTACCTGTCTGAAATCTCACTTGTGAACTAAAGATTATAAGTGCAAACCGAAGACAGGTTAACACTTAGTACAGGAAAGTGTACAAATCTAATGATGACTTTTATGATGAGAATGTTTCGAATGACTGAACTTCGTAAAATAAGGTTTTGGTGACCGAACATTATCACTGTGATCTTCTGAGGATCGACTGAATCGAGAGAGTCCTACTTTTTGGTTCCCATGATTCGAACTTGAAGATTCTGAAGAAGCTGTTGACGAATCACGAAAATCCCTCTTACGACTACGATGGGAATACCGTGAATTTGTTTTCCTTTTATGTGAATGTTTGAAATGCGAACGTGAAATTGTGACGGCCGTATCCGTTTCTTTTTTATTTTTATGGCGTTTAGAAGATTTCTGATGAATGCTGGAAGAATAAGATTGCTTTTCATAATACTTTTCTTGTAGAGTTTGAAATTTCCCACTTTCAGTGACAATTTTATTATCTGGAAGGTAAAACAAATTATAAGAACTTCGAGAAACGAAGAACCAGTACTTATTGACTGTAACTATTGCAAACATGAATTTTCACTATTTTTTTGATTTTTAAATTTATCAGTTGATATGAACGGAAAAAACGTAGTCTACTGATTAAATTCAGTGAAGGGAAATAGAAATTTGTAGGAAAGTTGGTTACAAATATCTACTAGAAGTCATACAGAATAAAAAGAATACGAAATATAGCTGTATTCCAAACTCATAATTACAAAATTAATATGGGGAAAAACCATGTAACATACGAATATATTGATAGGATCTTTATATGTCATAAGTTCTCGCCAAATGCATATTTCATTGAAACAACCACTATACAACATACACACTCAAAGACAATCTGATGTTTATCTTAGTTACTGTCGAATTTATGTGACGACACTAAGCTAATTAGTCTCGATAAGTAAAAGGTGTTTTACTTGGGCACTACATAGCGTGCGTTCAATTATTTTTCACAAGTTCCTAAATTAGTGCTTGACACATTGATAGCACTAAGTATTAACATCAAAGTATTACAATTTAAGATAACTGAATCCATTCAATTCACGATAACACAGCACCATAACAAGCCTGTGTTAAGTGACATTTTGAAAGAAATGATAAATAATCTAAATCATCGGTTAAGCTGTAGAATAACAAAGTTTTCTTACGATATTAAAGTCGATGAGACGTTATATCAAACAGTAAAGCGGATCACGAATTGCAGACATGAAACTATTAGAAATGTACAGAGTACTCCAAATACTCCAAGAATTCATCGATCATTATTAAGTCACAAAAATCTATACTCAACGATCATAGTGATTGACTTAGATGATCACTACATTAAGTTATTAGATTTCTATTGGATATAATGTCGAACTACGCAAAACAATCCCAGGAAGAAAAAAAGGCCTACTTGAAATCATTTTATCGCACCCACGATCCACGAAAGCTGATTAACACTTGAATTTGAAGCATAAGTATGAGAACCATGATTTTGCAGATAACAAAGATCACAAATATATGGAGAAATTCAAACACTTCACTTTTATCTGAAGTTTTTGCTGATGATGTCGTTCAGAAGAACGATGAAAGTTCCACGACCAAACCATCCAGCTCAGAGAACAAAACTCCATCAAAATCACAAATGTATACTTATAAATAAAGCTGCCACAAGAGACAATGTTTTCAAAGGTTTCATTCATTGTCAAAATAATGGGACACAGTAGTGCGAAATACATACACAATCGAACATGTTGTGTGAGGACAAAATGAATTAAGGGTCGACAGAAAAGGATATCACGATCAACTAAGTGTTGGAGATGTAGGAGAGATGATCGACTGCATAGAATTTACAGAAACACCCATGATCCAGCGATTTTCATCAACGGTTTCTAAGATTCACGGACGAGTATAAAAAGTTACCTCATTATTTATATAAACTTACTTTCGTTACTAGGACTATTCTGTGATGTATAATCATGCTTTACATCATCAGGAACATCACCTGGTAGTATACCTGATATATTACTTGTGGGTAGTTTACTTTCCAGCACGTTTTGCTCAGATTCTGACTCACTTTCACTATTATAAGAGACTAACCCTGTAAAAAGTTGCAAAATAATAGGGGTTAATGAATTTCCTTTATAAATTTTGACAATTAAATACTCAAATATATTATCAAGAGCAGCGTTTGCTTGATAGTCCTTTCACTGTAACCAATGCTGTAGAGACAGCGATTTGAGAAATAACATAACTATTTGATTAAAAACCTGGATGCTCCCCGATAACTCTTCTCTCTCGTGTTACCGTGTTGTCAGTCATTTCAGGTATATCATTCTATGAGATTTGAGTCATGATTAAATAAAATACAATAGAGAACCGACCTGCTTCTTACTTTTATCCTCTGGTTGAATTATAGGTTAATAGGAGCTCAAGAGCCAGTAAGTGTTAAGTTTTTGGTTATTCCTCATTAATCGATGGTTGTAGGTAAACAAGTTACCGATCTTACCGTGTAGACATAGGGAAAATAATTGATCGAACCAGAGAAATTATATAATAATTCTTCGAAAGTTACAGCCTGGTCACATGGGCCACAGTATAATACCCATAATGTAATTTCTACCGTCACATATGATTGTAAATAGGTAATACGTTAGGCAGTTTAAATTACCGGCAATATTGTCATTTAGTAAATCGTATCAAACCGGAGAACCCAGTTAGATGTCATTTAGCACGTTAAAAGTTAAACAATGTTACATAAAGCAGAACATATAGCTTTGATTATTAAATGAAAATTCGTAGCTTTTCACATAGAACATTATTCGACATAGCTCAAAAAGGTGAGGATGCATTATTTAATTATTTTTAAATCGTGAACATTGAGTTATTTAGAATTTTCATACATCGATTTCTAGTACTACTTTAGACCCCTATCAAGATTATTTTCACTTAAATTTTCACCACTATGAATACCACAAATCTCATTGCCCTCATTTTCCCACTTTTTATAAGCTTTCGACGTTACGATGAGTAGTTTAATAACTTGAACCGATAAGCAATCATACTATGTAGTACATCATGCGTGCATTAGTTACAGCAGTGTAGTCTTTTCATATAAACACCAGTTCATGTGACAATATAAAGTAAACGTAGTATATAAGTTATTAGCACACTACATAATCATAAAAATACTTAGCTGAAACCGAAGTGTCAAATGTCCTTGTTTGTATTGATTAGGATTTGAGAGTCTAGCCACCTCACTACGCTAAATAATATGTCTGTTAATTAGCGCTTAAGAAACTTAGACAAAAAATAACTAAAAAACAGATAAGCATTTGCATTCCCAAGTACTGCTGGTTAAATATGAAGTAAAATACAAAATCTCAGGCGATTAATCACTGAGATGAATAATAGTTCAATTCAACCCTTAGAACATGTTACTTAGTTAATAATTGGGACCATATAATTAAGTTATGATTAAATATGACAAATCAAACTAGTTACAGAAAAAACAAAAAAAACAAATGCTATCCAGTTACCTAGAATTGGGGATTTTATCTCAACATATGGAGAGTCTTCTAATGGTAGAACATGCGATTTTCCTGAAACCGCTTCTGTCATTACTTCTTCTACTATGGCGTCAATGAGTTCAGTTGTAACAGCCAGTAGAGCCTCAGTCAGCGTCCGGGTAATAAAACGAGCCTGTAAAACCGGATGAAATTTACTGATTATTCAAATTTAAGTCTTGTTTTGGAAAGAACATTAGATCGTAAACAGATATTATTCACGGCTAATATTCTTTACTTATAAACCTAGTTATGTGAAGAACAACTATAACACCATCTTGAAAATCTAAGCATACTTAATCACTAGCCTAGAACAGGTATATTGTCTGAGAAATAATGGTATTTATTTGGCTGCTCAAACTTTCAGAGATCCAGAAGAGTAGCTGGATTGTGTTGATTGACAGTTGAAAGTTTCGAATGAAAACCCCACCACTATCACACAAACGACATTACTAGCACAAAAAAAACAACTTGCTTCTAACGTCGCAGTGTTTGACAGCGATTCACAGATCACTGACAAATTATCAATTTCATGTCTACCTGGTCCTAAGTAATGATCGATTAGTGTCGACTTTTTCGTCCAATATATCGGTCGCACTTTGAATATTTCAGAAGAAACGTCTTTGATTATGAAACAGCGATGGAGGTTTGATTCTCCAGATGAATATCAGCGAATGTGTATTCCTGACGAGTAATTAGGTCTAAGGCTTCATGGTGATCACATTTAGTGAAATCACAATGACCAAATGAATCATTCCAAACAATTCAAAGAAAAAAAGCTTGCTCACAGAACATAATTGAATAAAATACTAAAGATTAAGCTGAATAAAATCAAAGTAAATATAAATATTAACTTATGTACTAGGATATGAGCTACACCTATCATGTGAGACAACAGTTGTTTAAAGTGAAGCAACCGATCTGTGTACAAGTCCACCAACATCGTGTTTCTAACTACTTTTTTAGGTTGGAAAAAATTCCGATCAGCACAAACAATTACTACTAGGTTAGAAAAAATACATCTTTATAAGTTTGTTATGAAAGTCATAAGCTTGGTAATTGATACGTTAATGTCAACCTTCCATAGTTCAAGTAAGAAATATCTAGAAAATCAAAAAAATATTTATTTGCGTTTGGGAAAATATATTGGATACAATATTTTCTTACCGTTTCAGTCCTTTGTTCTTCGTCCGATAGTGATGCGAACAACTCATGAAATTCTTGAAGGGATAGCAGATGTGTAGGCTGTTGTGCACCAGTCCGAATACGGCAGTTCCAACATTCGCAAAACCAAATACATATCAAACATGTGGCAGAGAATGAGTGTGAGGTAGCATCGAATTCAATAAAGTCATATTTAATGACAATATGCGTCAATTGTTCAAAGCGCTAGACAATACAATAGTTAGTTTTTGGAAAGTTCAGCTAGCTTTACCTGATACTTTCCAAAAACTTCCCTTTTAAAATCTCATAAACTAAAAATCATTAAATTGCTTCAAATCCTACTCTTCTCAAAACAATGAAGCGATTTGATGAAAGTGTCAAACGAATGCATTAATGGGATATCTGGGACTTTTGGTTCAAATGTGGAATATAGCTACGAGAAGTCAAATCACCATACAGTAGCTTGACGATTAAGCACTGAAATTTGCTTACAAGCTTCAATGAGCTTACCGTTAATGATGCAGGAGTGTTGGGTAAAATATTTTGAGAATTATCTGTAGTTAGTTGTTTTACCGCAGTTTCAGGGTTTGAGATTTCCTCTGATTCCGCAGGAGGTTGACTTCGAGATGAAAACGGGGATTGGAGGTCACCAACAGGATTACTTGAGACATCAAAAGGACTTCCCTGTTCTTTGACATCACTATCTGATTCCTCATTATTGTTCAATAGAGATTTTAGTGTTTGGACATCAGTTTTAGCTTCATCCTCCATAACGATATCACCTTCATCATCCCTTTTAGCATCAGGAGCAGCCCCTAAAACTTAAGATAGTGATGAAGCTTTGAGGTAATTTTAACGTCACGTATTGAACATCAATTATCATTTTGACTAAAACAATTTAGTAACATATTCGGAAAATAAATAGTAAACGACCCAACTAGTGTTGTCTAAGGCATTTTAACACCAGTTGTGTCATAGTATAAAGAAACATAACAAAAAATGCGCATTATCCTGGAAATGAACAAAATAATACCTAACACTGATCGACATAATCATGCTTAGTGTACTATTCTGAAAAATTTACCTTGGACGGCACAAGATATGATTATTCTCATTATTAGGCAGAGGACAACACCCAGAAAACAACTGGGAGGATGCTTTGAAATCAGTACTGAACAAATGAAAAAATTTCGAGCATTATGATGAACAGTCTTTGGAATGTCAACTCAAAATAGGACAAAAACAAATTCTCTGTGGCTGCGTAGTACCAGATTAGAAATCAGAAATTGCGTAGATAAATTAGATTAAATGTAGTACATTTAACGGATTCAAGGGATTTATAATGACCAATACAAAACTTTCAGTTAAGGAAGATACAACCACTTTTTATGAAGAAAGTAAGGGAAGGTCACAGCAGGATCGCCGCTGGCTTCTACTCTGAGCCATATCTGATAACGTCTCTAGCCACTGTGTTGCACCATCTCTCGGATCCCAACCAGGGAGTCGTGAAGGACCGACAGAAGCCAGTCCTTTACAGCTTTCTTTCATACCACGACACAATGTCATACAATGACCACTTCTCCGCATCTTCCAACCACTCCCAGAGTCGGCAAATAATGCACAACGTGGAATTCTCTGGGACGACATTCGTAAAACGTGTTCAAGCCATCGAAGTCGATGTTTCAAGATGGTGACATCGATTGCATTATCATCTCTGTGACCGAACACACGATGCCGAACCTCTGCATTACTGACATGGTGTTGCCACTGGATGTCAGCCCTCCTTTGGAGACAGCGATGATCGAACACAGAGAGTCGTCTAACGTCCTCAACTCGGAGAGGCCAGGTTTCACAAGCATAGAGCAGAACTGCTCACCCAACGCGTTGTAGACCCGACCTTTTACAGCCAGACTAACATCACGAAGGTGCCAAAGATAGCACAGAGTGGCATAAGCCGCTCTGGCTTTCACTATACGTGCACTGACCTCATCTCTCCGTCTGGTGCTTCCAGGTTTTTCATGGTGGTCTAGCTCCACCTGACACATGACTTCGCCTATTAAAATTTCTAAAATCTCCAAAAAGCCTCTTCTGATAATTTCATTATTTAATAGAACAAAATGAGGAGTGTCATACTTAAATAAAATGCGAAATTAAATGACCAAATTATGTCTCAAATGTTTCGATTCTAATAAGAGACTACCAGTCAACTCTTTACTAACTAACTTCGGATGTTACAACTGCACAAAACAAGTAGAGTCTTACTGAAGTGATTTACTTTATTAGATAGGACGGATTATAGAAGTAAATGGGGCGATTCATGGCGTGCAAGCTCACTATCTTACGCTAGTCATTCTTAGCATTGACAATTTCAACAAACTATTCGAAGTTCAGTGATCAGACTTAGAAATGGTTCAGATTGATGGATGATTTGGCCAGGACTCAGAGAGGTCTCACTAGGCCTACAAACTCTTCTATAAGCTTCTGTTTTTTATTCAGTTCACAGTCAAAAAATCTAATCATAACGATGACAAATGGTTTGTCAATACATAAGTACTGGCAAAGGAATAGAAATGTAAGCGTCTGAAATACACAAAGCATTTCAATACTGTCGTATCAGAAATATGCATCTGACTAGTCCCGACAAACTTGTGACATCCAAACCTATCGTACACCATCAGTTGCCACAACTCAAAATTAATAATATCCTTATGGGAAATGCAGTTCCAAGAAAAGCAGAGAATATTCCGCCTGCAAGAAACCAAGAAGACCAAATATACTGTAAGTGGTGACTGTCACCGACCACAGATGCCGCCAACGCGTTCAACAGAATGGGGTCTGGGTGATGAAGCTTCGTTTTGCACAAAAATGCCGAGTTTTGCATATTCATTCGTTGTCTTTCTGTGGATACCGTAGTACATGAATTCGGGTTTTTCATATATTGTCACAATATCGAACTCCTGATAGAGATGGCTGTACACTTGACCTGATATATTAACTGATCTCAGTTCGTGTCATTTGCAATAAATCTGGCAACCATACCTTGTTCATTTGTTGCGTACAGCTTTATGAATTGCAAGTAGACTCAGTTATTCTATGGTTGAACATTAGGCATGGACACTAAGGAGGTTGTTTGAACCATTGATCCCTATCATGTAACCGGTTAAGTTGTCTGCTATTTGGGTTTTGACTTCGCGTTAGGTAGTCATTCGACAGTGTCATGTATGATTTTCTACTAATTTATGCTAGCATAAGTTTTGTCCGTTGTTTAGTTGACTGCAGGTGCCCTAGTTTGTACAGGAACGGATGTTTATGTAGATATCTTGTTACAGTACCAAGAGTTTGGGTTGGCAGTAAACCTAAGACTCATCAGAGTATTTGTGTGAATGGAAATTTGCCAGACTAAGTTGTGATCCAGGTCCTCTTAGTTCTACACATCAACACTCATGGACTTCTCATCATGTAAGCACCTTCCGTGCTTCTTTGAAGAGCAAACATGCAACTCCTTGTGTAGAGCAATTTCTTCATCGTAACCGAAATACAATGATAATTCCTCAAAGCCGTCCCTTTCCGTCCAGATTGCGTTCAGTAGGTTCCACCTATTCCAAGCAGAATCAGGTTTTATCTTCATTTCCGCCGCTGTTTGATTGACCTTCCCAAATTCTCTGTACATTTAGTGCATACATTTACTGTTGTGGATGCGGAGGAATAGACCAATAATTATGATGTTAAGTCCAATGGTGTCCTTGGATTTTAAATGGACATTTTCTATTGGTCGATTTCTGTTCACTTGTTGAGTATTGTACGAAATGTTGTTTTCTATTTTATGGTACAATGTGGTGTGCTTGATTGGTAAATAAAGAAAGTATGTTTGAAATATAATGATTCATAACTCAGAGGCTGTGGCTTGTCTTCTGGACTCAACTAACTGGGCTAGACAGGGAAGCAGGACCAATCAGGGCACTAGGTCGTCCCTTATGTGTTTTCCGTGTCACTCTCACCGAATCGATCAATAAACGCTGCTTATCAAGACCTGCAGTCACACCCGTCATAACATTTACCTTTGCTCTAGTTGCCAAACGAGGTATAGGGCCTATGGTCCTCAAAGACTCTGCTCTTACCATGAAATGTTACAAGTTCCATATTAAGACCCTTCAATTCTCAGAGCACAGGTTGAGTGGTGTGGATGGTTTTTCTGCGTGTCCTTCTCCTTAATTAGAATTTTCCTCTCGAGGTGGGGTTGCTAACTCTACACTAGGTCCTTAACTAGCGATCGGAACAGGGGCGCCTCCCAATGAGGCTCCGTGCAGTGTCATATATGTATCAAGGGCTATATGCCCATCACTGAGCCACTGGCTAAGTGGGGATTACGGAAGACTGTGCTTGGTACATCTCAGTTTTTGGCATATACAGTTCTAATGATGGCATGCTCTGGGTCTATTCGGGGTTTTGGACGTTTGTACAACCGTTGTGGCAAAGAGCACGTGGCTCCGTACCTTGTCAGGTAGTGCCTGGACTGTGCACGAACTCATTCGCGTTGATTGCTTACGGTGATATGTCAGCTTTTTGATAATGACAAGAAGCTCGAGTCACTAGTCCGTTGTCTTAAATTAAGATTGTAGCCCAAATCCCTTAATTCCATGAATGAACCGTCAGATTGAAGATTCAGAGTCCCGGTAAACTGCACACACCTATACGTACCAGTCTGTACTGACTGAGATCGAGAAGTGGTCAGTGCATGACATGGTGTCGTGGTATGAAAGAAAGCTGTAAAGGACTGGCTTCTGTCGGTCCTTCACGACTCCCTGGTTGGGATCCGAGAGATGGTGCTACACAGTGGCTAGAGACGTTATCAGATATGGCTCAGAGTAGAAGCCAGCGGCGATCCTGCTGTGACCTTCCCTTACTTTCTTCATAAAAAGTGGTTGTATCTTCCTTACCTGAAAGATTTCTTCTGATTGTACCTTTCCGTCCCCTCATTATTACTATTATTATTACTACACTACTTTGCGTTATTGTTCTCTTTTTTTCTACGCTCGTTACCTTTTCTTTTCTTTCTCTTCGAATTCTCATTGTTTTGTGTGGCGCATATATATTGGCGCTCTCTTGTACCAATATTTATGTGTTCAAATAAATAATAAATAAACAGTAATAATAATAATATAGTCATTTTCATTTTATTTGTGTGTGGGCTATGATACTGCCCGAGTGCCCAGACCGAAGCAAGTGGTTTTCTTAGGGGGCCACACCCCGAGCTTTTGACCTAAAGGTCTGACCCACAATGCAGGTAAAAGCTTATCCCTGTGTAAACTCTATATCGTTTCAAGCATTCAAAAACTTGAGCATCACTACTGTAAACACATTTAGACTAACCAGTAGCTCCAGATACAGCGGCCAGTTCTTTAGCTTTTTTCTTTTCCAATTTCTCTAATTCATCACGAAGCCATGCGGGGAGAGCACGAGGTTTGGTATTACCACCTCCGGTTTGTTCTGGTTCTAAATTTTTTGGAGGCCAAACTCCAGTGCTTGCAGCAGCTTCCTCTGGACAGTGTTTTAAATTGTAAAATAATGACCAAGAAAACCCGGATAATTAAAAACGGGATTATCAAACTGAAGAGGAACGAATCATAAGTAATGTTAGTTTGCTTTTATCAAACACGGATTCGTTCGTTTACTCATTGATTATGCAATCTCTTAATTTAATTATAGCATCACCACTCATTGGTGCAATGCATAACTCTAGTATACAAATTGTACTAGAATATTTCCTAGAAATGTATAATTTATAAACCAAAAAGCCTGTTATTTTCAAATTACAGAAAGGCCTGCCAGTTTCTATTGATTAAGAACCCGTTAGAGTGAAGTGAAGCTTAAAATCGTTGAACGGCATCACTTTTAGCTACAATAAAACTAGGATGAAATATGAAGAGAATTTTATCATACTAAGCATAAACTAACACGGTTTTTGAATTATAACCACTCCATGAAGACACTGACAACTGGATTGACTCATGTGTACACCACTTGGTTGGGATCCGCGTGAATACCGTAATTAATGGTCATAGACTTTGAATGACATGGTTCAAAATCGTTTGCAATGACACAGATACATATATTCTCTGTCTTTCCAGAATTCTGAAATTCTGTGTTATTTTACTATTTTTTTGGAAATAGGCCTTCGATGCTTAATCTTTTCGATTACTACGAATACTGTACCTCTACAATCCTGAGATTTGATCTGAAAATTTCATTTTTCTGCGCTAATGGAGTACGGCAACTTGAAAAGATATACAGACGTACTGGGTTCTACGTTACGACTGACTGACTTTTAATTATCAGACAACGGAAATTATAGACGCATTCATACTTTGTCCACAAACACGAGAGTTTAGGATATTTGGTTCCAAAATAAACCAACCTCAACAAATTCCCTTATCTAATCATAGAACATTCCAACAAACTATATAGTATAACGAGGGAGTCCTAATCGAAAGATCAAACTTACAAAGTCAGTCGCGAAGTAGGATTTTATAAAGAATATAATTCTGCTAAGTAGTATGTTGCGATACTTTCAAATAAAATCCTACCATAAGGCAAAAAATCAATACATTAAAGACATCAAGTGTGAACAAAAAAGAAGATATTATGAGGGCCCACCGAAAGCTGTCATTAGGTGTTCCGGAACGGGCAGATGTGTGATACGACCTCTGGGCTTACACGAAGATTCAATAATGGGAGTTGGGATAAGCGAAATCGGTCTAGGATCAGCCAAGGCTTTATTTGCAATAGCCGACGGAAATATTGCCGGGCTTGTGTGACCACTGTCGCTAGGCAGAATAGGACGAGTATCCACATCCTTCCAATTTTCTTCCATACTACCAGACGGAACTGTAGGACTCTGTATTGTTATGCGGTAGTCGTGATCATGACATCCACGGAATTGATTACCTTCATTCACCGATGTATCTTCACTGAGAGGAATATATTTAGGTTCATCCTGCATAAAAGTAAAGAGGAATGTTATCTCTTTTTAATAACTTACTTCAAGAAGCAATATTTACAAGCAATGAATTTCTAAGAATAATGTAATATGCTGAAAATTTTGTAGTTTCATTGCTCACAACGTGCTACAGTTAAACGGTCTACACTTGAACATGATTAATTCATTAAAAAATTAAAATACTAAACATCCATGTGTCTTAAGTAGTGATTTCCCTAAACAAAAAAGAGCATCAAATCATTAAACTTCATACTACAACTAGGTTTGAACCTACAGTTAACAAGATCCTGAAAATAAGCTCCAATATTACTAACGACAAGAGTTTTAACCAACAAACTCAACTTACCACACAAGATAATTTATCTGCAGTACATTAGTTACAAATTGATAAGCGATGTTACAAAGGATATCTTTTTAAAATAATACTGGTTGAATTCAAAGAAATATTTAAGCACATAGGACACTTAAAAACGAAATTCTTTGAAACCCATAAATTAGTAAACCCCAAACAAACCCACAACTCTCACTTGATATTGATAACTCGGACGGTGAAGGTGCATATCGTTGAATTGCTCAGGTGGAGGAAAGCTTTCTACGGGTTGGAAAGACTCGGGATTTCTAGGCCACATGTTACGATTATTCTGGTTAGAACGTGGATAGGGTTGGTTATAAGGATTAGCCGGTCTGACAGCTGACGAGTTAAATGACCTTTCAAGAGAGTAAGAATGGTTATAATCATAAACTTCTGAAGCGTGAGAACCATAATCGCAATCACCCTGATCATTTTTAGTCCATCTCTTTTGATAGCGTGTGTTTTGACCCGTATGGCCACTCCCCACACTGTAATACTGTTCCTCATAAGACTTACAATGTATACCAGGATTGTTTGAATTTTCACTGGAAGGATAATTGATTTGATGGTGATTATGTTCATAATATTGAGACGAAGGACCTGTCAGGGAAATGGTATTACTATATCCCTGTGGAACTTGGTTACCATAAGAGTGACTTTCATGTGCCGACCATTTGCTTTGTAAACTTGCTTGTGAAGGCCAAGCATTCTGGGAACGCTCATGATTATTATAGGATGGCCAAGCACTTTGAGGAGGACCATGATATCCAGGTGCCGTACACAAATTCTGTGAATATGCCTGACCGCTATTTGTAGACCACGAATTTTGCGAGACCCTGGAATTTTCGAATGAAGACCAAGAACTCTGTGGAGCCCCCTGATTTTCAGGTACTGAGCACATACTTTGTGAGGGAAGGGGGTTCTCTTGTGCACATAATAGGGAGTTTTGGATTAATAGGTGGCTGGAGTCAACTCTGGATGCATTGGAAACTAAGTTGCTTGTATTTGACTGGATTTGAGTTGCTGGTATAAAAGCGATTGGTGGCGGAGGCGGAGAAGGAGGGGGTGGTGGGGGCGGAGGTGGAGGAGGAGGAGGAGGAGGAGGAGGTAGAGCTACGTTGTTAGTGTAATGAGGCTGCAATTGGCTACTACGCTGATGAGCCCACTGTCGAGCTAGGGCTCCCCAGCCATCAGAATTATCCACTTTTTCCTCAACGGATGGTGGAGGGCCATGAATGAGGGATTTTGTCCAGGCGGCAGCGGAGAAATGAGGCCACATAGCTGGAAAAACAATAGACATTAGTTAATAACCGGATTAATAGTTCATTTTAGCTATCATCTGATTAAAAGTCACAATACATTAAAAACATTGACAAAAATATGAATTCCAAATGTACATTAGTGGATCTACAACGGTAATAAGTTTGGACTTATTATCTATTGTCCAAATGTAGCAATTACACTAACGTGTTGGTTTAGGCTACCTATCATAATGACTCAATCGAGATGCACTAGATCAGACTTTTGTTCCCGCAGGTCCTACCATGCGAGTCAAATGATTTGAAAACAACAGTACCATTAAGAGCAGCAACTTAATGTTCGAGAGAGAAGTAATACCACTGACCGCACAAATGCATGGCTCATATAACCAATATATGAAACGATGGTGACTCCTAACAACGGAGAGGGGTAAGAAATGTCGATGTCTAAAAATGTCACAACTAAACCTAAAGACTTTCGTCTCTGATTGTAAGACCTTTAAAAGAAATGTTATCTCTGGTCCGCTAGAACCGTGTAATAAATTACAAATAGTGGAGATCACAATAACAAAACGTGCCGAATATCACAGCAGGATAACAAAGATAGGACTCCAGAACACAGTCTGCAGATCTCCAATGCAGCGGTCTCGCATATCAGGCTATAGCACTAAGTTCACAATCATCACAAGTTTTCTTGAACTGGACTCTGACAGATAGTCGCTTTTGTGCTGTCCGACTAAACGGAACAAAACCTCGATAATATGAGGGCACACCGTTGCCTCTGCCTACGCTTTGGATCAAGGAGAAGGTGAGTTTCATGGAAAGCCTTCCGACCTCCAAAAAGCCAAACGCTCAGATATAGTCCTGGTGGGAGGTAATTGTTATTTTTAGGTAGATAGTTTAAATCAAACTGAAAGTCAGTTAGGTGGGTCTTACGGTATTGCGGCTCGCAGAACAGATAACGACAAACGGATGCAGTAATTATGCACAAATAGCAGCTTGGTTATAACAAGCGCCAACTTTAAACACCATCTGATACGGCGACCTCACAATCGGATCAGCGATGGACGCAAATAGACCACATCGCCATCAGACGTCGTTGGAGGTGATCAACAGTAGGCTGTCGACCGTACTGGGACGCATGTTTAGACTGGAGTCGCAGTCTAGTGCAAGCACGTATTTAGCTGCATCTTACTGGACGTAGGAAAGGCACAACAAAACCCCTGAGGTTCAACTTAATGAACATATTTCAGGAACAACTAGTCAATCACGAATGATATTCATTCCGAGGCAATCGGACATGGTGCTCAAACAGCTGTGATACCTACCAGTAACTTGGGCCAGAACGTGAAGAGATATCAATGGATTTCAGCAGCGCCCACTGGACTGATGGATGCTCGAGAATTCATCACGTCTTGGCCTGAACACGATAAGGAGCGTAGGCAGCTTAAACTCAGCCCGATAAAAAGCCTACGCAATGGTCACCTAAGGTTATTGGTACGCATTGAGTATGTCCAACTACCGCTTCCTTCAACAGGGATGTCTGGTGTAGGAATAGACTGTGAGAGACCAGTGGGAGGTGAAACTAAGACACGGCACCAGTCCATGGAGTCATTGACCATTGGGCTGAGCTATGCAGATAAGTGTAGACAGCACGGTTGGAATCCGCGAATATCGAAACCAACTGTTAGAGATTTTGGTTGACATGGTCCAGAATCTTCGCAATAACGTAGGTGGATTCACTCATTTCCTAAAACCTGAGTTCCAAAATCTCGATACATTTTCTTTTTTCTATACCTGATCTTCTCAATTGCTACTCCCAGTACTCTGGGATTTGTCCTGAAATGATCTTATTGCAATGTGGTGATGCGGTCTGGTAAAGCAAACCGATAATGATGTGTCTACTAGTGTCGTGTAAAATCGGCTTCTTACTTAACAATTTAAGCATATAAAATCGGGCACCAAAAGTAGAGCATGTCTCAAGGCTCCTGATCAGGCAGAAAAATCGAAGATCTCTAAATAACTTCTGGTTGGATGACTTTATTCTCAGTCACTGGAAGTAAAATGAAAGCCTGTCTGCCAAGAAATTGATCGAAGTTATCATAACTAGAAGATAAGAGCAAGCGTTGCCAATTACCCGAAAACAACCAGATTGTCCTCTTGTCCATCAAGTGAAACAAGTTTCGAGTGATGGAAAAGAAAGTAGTTGATATGAAATTAGTAGTACTTGACTTTATGTAGGTTAGTGCTATCTAATCTTGAACTCAATAGTGGATTAGTACTTCTCGATCTCAGTCAGTACAGAGTGGTACGTATAGGTGTGTGCAGTTTAATTATAAGCAGGTATAATTACCGGGACTCTGAATCTTCAATCTGACGGTTCATTCATGGAATTAAGGGATTTGGGCTACAATCCCTGTGGTAGTGTTGCGCGATACTGCACTTGAATGCTAGATCTTAAGTTATGAATACATTACCAAAACTCGGAAAGCTATATGGTGCAGTTAAGCGACGGATTAGCTTAAGGTAATGTTTCAATTATCTATATCCTCAACATAATTTAAATTGACTTACTCAATTAATTTGGTTAGTGAGTCAAGCTCTCTTGCGAGTTGATTAGGTCGGACTACGTACTCGTTCTAGATTGTCCAAAATATAGAGTCCGACAACAGCCATCTAACATTTAATTGGGTAGGCATCTTCTGAGAAATGGTGTCAGGGTTTCCGTTAGATTTATCCCAATTTAAGATAACGGACTAGTGACTCGAGCTTCTTGTCATTATCAAAAAGCTGACATATCACCGTAAGCAATCAACGCGAATGAGTTCGTGCACAGTCCAGGCACTACCTGACAAGGTACGGAGCCACGTGCTCTTTGCCACAACGGTTGTACAAACGTCCAAAACCCCGAATAGACCCAGAGCATGCCATCATTAGAACTGTATATGCCAAAAACTGAGATGTACCAAGCACAGTCTTCCGTAATCCCCACTTAGCCAGTGGCTCAGTGATGGGCATATAGCCCTTGATACACATATGACACTGCACGGAGCCTCATTGGGAGGCGCCCCTGTTCCGATCGCTAGTTAAGGACCTAGTGTAGAGTTAGCAACCCCACCTCGAGAGGAAAATTCTAATTAAGGAGAAGGACACGCAGAAAAACCATCCACACCACTCAACCTGTGCTCTGAGAATTGAAGGGTCTTAATATGGAACTTGTAACATTTCATGGTAAGAGCAGAGTCTTTGAGGACCATAGGCCCTATACCTCGTTTGGCAACTAGAGCAAAGGTAAATGTATGCACTAAATGTACAGAGAATTTGGGAAGGTCAATCAAACAGCGGCGGAAATGAAGATAAAACCTGATTCTGCTTGGAATAGGTGGAACCTACTGAACGCAATCTGGACGGAAAGGGACGGCTTTGAGGAATTATCATTGTATTTCGGTTACGATGAAGAAATTGCTCTACACAAGGAGTTGCATGTTTGCTCTTCAAAGAAGCACGGAAGGTGCTTACATGATGAGAAGTCCATGAGTGTTGATGTGTAGAACTAAGAGGACCTGGATCACAACTTAGTCTGGCAAATTTCCATTCACACAAATACTCTGATGAGTCTTAGGTTTACTGCCAACCCAAACTCTTGGTACTGTAACAAGATATCTACATAAACATCCGTTCCTGTACAAACTAGGGCACCTGCAGTCAACTAAACAACGGACAAAACTTATGCTAGCATAAATTAGTAGAAAATCATACATGACACTGTCGAATGACTACCTAACGCGAAGTCAAAACCCAAATAGCAGACAACTTAACCGGTTACATGATAGGGATCAATGGTTCAAACAACCTCCTTAGTGTCCATGCCTAATGTTCAACCATAGAATAACTGAGTCTACTTGCAATTCATAAAGCTGTACGCAACAAATGAACAAGGTATGGTTGCCAGATTTATTGCAAATGACACGAACTGAGATCAGTTAATATATCAGGTCAAGTGTACAGCCATCTCTATCAGGAGTTCGATATTGTGACAATATATGAAAAACCCGAATTCATGTACTACGGTATCCACAGAAAGACAACGAATGAATATGCAAAACTCGGCATTTTTGTGCAAAACGAAGCTTCATCACCCAGACCCCATTCTGTTGAACGCGTTGGCGGCATCTGTGGTCGGTGACAGTCACCACTTACAGTATATTTGGTCTTCTTGGTTTCTTGCAGGCGGAATATTCTCTGCTTTTCTTGGAACTGCATTTCCCATAAGGATATTATTAATTTTGAGTTGTGGCAACTGATGGTGTACGATAGGTTTGGATGTCACAAGTTTGTCGGGACTAGTCAGATGCATATTTCTGATACGACAGTATTGAAATGCTTTGTGTATTTCAGACGCTTACATTTCTATTCCTTTGCCAGTACTTATGTATTGACAAACCATTTGTCATCGTTATGATTAGATTTTTTGACTGTGAACTGAATAAAAAACAGAAGCTTATAGAAGAGTTTGTAGGCCTAGTGAGACCTCTCTGAGTCCTGGCCAAATCATCCATCAATCTGAACCATTTCTAAGTCTGATCACTGAACTTCGAATAGTTTGTTGAAATTGTCAATGCTAAGAATGACTAGCGTAAGATAGTGAGCTTGCACGCCATGAATCGCCCCATTTACTTCTATAATCCGTCCTATCTAATAAAGTAAATCACTTCAGTAAGACTCTACTTGTTTTGTGCAGTTGTAACATCCGAAGTTAGTTAGTAAAGAGTTGACTGGTAGTCTCTTATTAGAATCGAAACATTTGAGACATAATTTCGTCATTTAATTTCGCATTTTATTTAAGTATGACACTTTTCATTTTGTTCTAATATGTATGATTGAATATTTGCGTTTTTAAACAGTCTCTCTACTCTTTCTACTCGCTTCTTGTGTTCTGTGATATAAGTTGGAACCCACTTCTAAAACTTTCTAATCCTAATAGTATGACGATGGGATAAATATTAGTCGAAAACAATCACGAAAGAAGCTATATTACTTGTAAACTACGTTAAAGTGTTCTCATATATTTGATCTGCAAATTCAGGCGCTTGTTGTTATTTACAGTCAGCTCGTCATTGGATAGAATTGCGCATATTCCGTAGTTCATTGAATCTCAGTACTTCAATTCGTCTCTAGCTTTTGTATGAGGAATGTCTGCGCAAAAATGCCCTTAAACAAGCGACAGAATGTGTCGTCACTGAGAAGTTATACAATTGACATGTAACATTGAGTAGTTCCACAAATAATTAGTTTTTTATGTGATCGGCATTGGTACTAACCATGTTAATTTTAATAAACCCTAATTGGATGGAAGCACTTGATCAAGCATTCCGCTAGGCTGAGTTTCGAAATACCGTGGTACAAATTTCGTTATACAACTAAAAAATTTAAAAGTTATAAGTTACGTTACTTCTGGACACGAGAAATGTGTATTTTTGAATCCGTTCACCATCGCCGTCTTTCTTAAATGCGTCACGATCACTTAGTTAAAAAGGATTCGCATATCACCGTTGTCGAATTTTGCTGTATCCGACAGCCTTCCATCGATGATCGTTACTTCATCTGGTAAAATGTATGACAGATTCTGAAAACGTTTGTTCGCTGGTCCTCTTTAAACCTTCTATAAATTTTTATACGTTTTTGTGTTATAGAATATGGTGCAGTTCGGTAATAGTACATTTTTCTTCGCTAATATTATAAGAGACCTAATCTAAAAATTTTGGATTTAAAAATATGACTATCTAATTTATGAAATTTAAGGTGGAATTTGCAACGTTGTCATTTTGACTGGTCCTTTAATGGTCATCAGCAGTGCAATGTTTAGCACGCTTGAAGAACACATTCGGGGTGAAGATATAGTAATATATTTAGTGTAAGGATAGGTCACATAGAATGGTCACGCGTGAAAAACTGTTCCATATCACAAAAACCAATTGTCTCCGCGTTCTTCACTTTTGAACTTCACTAAGCGTTACTCGTTGAATGTAAACCTTTTTCAGTAATTATACGCTCAGCTTGAAAAATCGTATGGTTAAGAACAAAAAACACTGAACTACTCTCCCACCAGAATCAATGTGACGTTAGTTGGACATCAAATGGGTGGGTATGTTACGCTCCGGAAGTTACCAAACCAATGATAGGAATCCCCCAGGTATTGATAAACTGAAATATAAATCAAAAAGTGGCAACAACTGGTCATGAGATAGTGCAATAATTCCAAAATATTTGGCTTAATTCTCAACACGCACTAAATGAAATTCTACGTGAATGTCATTCAAGAGGTAAATAAAATGGCATTATCATAATGAAGGATGATTTAGTACAAAGATATTTTCACAAGTCACATCAAGATGTATAGTAACCTCTATTGGTTAAGAACTTTATTCATGGCAGTATAAGAATGTTGTGCTTATACACAGGAAAAACAACTAATATTATAGAAATGTTGATATTGGATTTATCTTTGGTTTTGATTAGAAAGTCAGTCAACGTTTATGCCGCTATGCCGTCAGTATGAGTTCATTTCCAATTGTATCTGTACTAGTAGACTAACTGAAAGAATGAAAGGATTGTAACAGCTTAGGTTGGTTGGTTAAGTGTTAAACTCAATCAACTATGAATATGTCAAGACAGTATAGTTCAAGTAACCATTCACTTCCTTATTTTGTATATATGTTATTTCTCTTATTATCTTATATTGAGTGTCGAGAGGATTTGTTTGTCTGAACAGACAATCACACGCTACACTGTGACTGCGCGAAGATCTAAATAAAGACCTATTTACTACTTGTCTGGTTTCTTCTATCAATAGCACGAGGGCTACCTGCAGGCACGAAAGGATAACCGAGGACAGGAAGAATTCAGACCAGTGTTTCAGTTAGCTTGCTAAGTTTGGTGCGGTTTAATTAGTTGCCTGTAGATTTTTTCCGGCCTCATTACTGCTTACCCGTGACGGGATTTAATTAGACTACCAATACATATGAATTTTTATGAGAACTTTAAATAAGTGGGAATCGTAGTGACCATGTGTATTTTGGACAGATAGCTAACAGCAATTGGTAAAATATGGATGAGTCCTTGAGAGTCATACCCTAGACTGAATGCCTTGATATACACAAGACCAATTATTTATATTCATACCTACCAGTTGATGGTGCATACAAGTCAGTTGCAAGCATTGTATTTGATACAAGGTAGAAATCCACTCATTTGAAATAGAGTGATTATAAAGTGTTGATATCGACTAAGCTTTTGTGCCACAGATGTACGAGACATGGTTTAAGATGCTTTCGGCTGAATATATCTTTACAGGATATATATATATATATACAATAGTTAGTTTTTGGAAAGTTCAGCTAGCTTTACCTGATACTTTCCAAAAACTTCCCTTTTAAAATCTCATAAACTAAAAATCATTAAATTGCTTCAAATCCTACTCTTCTCAAAACAATGAAGCGATTTGATGAAAGTGTCAAACGAATGCATTAATGGGATATCTGGGACTTTTGGTTCAAATGTGGAATATAGCTACGAGAAGTCAAATCACCATACAGTAGCTTGACGATTAAGCACTGAAATTTGCTTACAAGCTTCAATGAGCTTACCGTTAATGATGCAGGAGTGTTGGGTAAAATATTTTGAGAATTATCTGTAGTTAGTTGTTTTACCGCAGTTTCAGGGTTTGAGATTTCCTCTGATTCCGCAGGAGGTTGACTTCGAGATGAAAACGGGGATTGGAGGTCACCAACAGGATTACTTGAGACATCAAAAGGACTTCCCTGTTCTTTGACATCACTATCTGATTCCTCATTATTGTTCAATAGAGATTTTAGTGTTTGGACATCAGTTTTAGCTTCATCCTCCATAACGATATCACCTTCATCATCCCTTTTAGCATCAGGAGCAGCCCCTAAAACTTAAGATAGTGATGAAGCTTTGAGGTAATTTTAACGTCACGTATTGAACATCAATTATCATTTTGACTAAAACAATTTAGTAACATATTCGGAAAATAAATAGTAAACGACCCAACTAGTGTTGTCTAAGGCATTTTAACACCAGTTGTGTCATAGTATAAAGAAACATAACAAAAAATGCGCATTATCCTGGAAATGAACAAAATAATACCTAACACTGATCGACATAATCATGCTTAGTGTACTATTCTGAAAAATTTACCTTGGACGGCACAAGATATGATTATTCTCATTATTAGGCAGAGGACAACACCCAGAAAACAACTGGGAGGATGCTTTGAAATCAGTACTGAACAAATGAAAAAATTTCGAGCATTATGATGAACAGTCTTTGGAATGTCAACTCAAAATAGGACAAAAACAAATTCTCTGTGGCTGCGTAGTACCAGATTAGAAATCAGAAATTGCGTAGATAAATTAGATTAAATGTAGTACATTTAACGGATTCAAGGGATTTATAATGACCAATACAAAACTTTCAGTTAAGGAAGATACAACCACTTTTTATGAAGAAAGTAAGGGAAGGTCACAGCAGGATCGCCGCTGGCTTCTACTCTGAGCCATATCTGATAACGTCTCTAGCCACTGTGTTGCACCATCTCTCGGATCCCAACCAGGGAGTCGTGAAGGACCGACAGAAGCCAGTCCTTTACAGCTTTCTTTCATACCACGACACAATGTCATACAATGACCACTTCTCCGCATCTTCCAACCACTCCCAGAGTCGGCAAATAATGCACAACGTGGAATTCTCTGGGACGACATTCGTAAAACGTGTTCAAGCCATCGAAGTCGATGTTTCAAGATGGT